CTCCATTACAGGGGCCGCCTGTGAGCCGCCTCCCCCGGGGGCTCGGGCCCGCGCCGCGCCCAACCCCCCGCGCTCCAAGCCAGAGCCTTGTGGCCCGGGGGCTGCCGGGACGCACCCGGGCCCAGGCTGCTCCCGTGCTGGGCAGGGCTGTGAGCTGCCTTGTTTTCCTTTGGTCCCTTCCTCTTTCCAGCCTGCGGCCTCTTGGGGCATTTCACGGGCGAGCCCTGTCTCCGCTCCGCCATCGCATTGAGCCCTCCTGCTGCTGCCAGTCTGTGCAGGGGGAGCCGCTCGTGCCTTGTCCCTGGCGCTCTAGGGCAGGGGTCTCCACACGCCCCCCTCCCCCAGTGCCATGAAACCGCCATGGCCCTGCTGTGCCACGCCAACTGCTTTTCTACATTTAAAAGCCAGGGCCAGTGTCAAGGGGTAGCAAGCAGGGCAAGTCTCCCGGGAACTGTGAAGCCATGTTGCTCAGGCTTCTGCCTCAGTCCTGAGTGATGTAGCTTAGGGTCCCAGGCTGCACTTGTGTGTGGTGGGATTTTAGCTTTCTGCCATGGGCTCTGGTAAGTCTAATGCAGTCCATGTTTGGTAGCCCTTCTGAAACCTGCCCCCAGGGGTGCTGGGCCGTGCCCCTGGTTGAAAACCACTGCTTAAGGGAGTTAGGCTTTGGGGCTCTCCGGGCTGGGGCATGGGTTCAATTCCTGGTCAGCAATGACTTTCCCTAAGGGTATGTCTAGACTACCACGTTTTGTCGACGGAAGTTTTGTCGACAGATAATGTCGACAAAACTTCCGTCGACAAAACGTGGTAGTCTAGACATACCCTTAGGGAAAGTCATTGCTGACCAGGAATTGAACCCATGCCCCAGCCCGGAGAGCCCCAAAGCCTAACTCCCTTAAGCAGTGGTTTTCAACCAGGGGCACGGCCCAGCACCCCTGGGGGCAGGTTTCAGAAGGGCTACCAAACATGGACTGCATTAGACTTACCAGAGCCCATGGCAGAAAGCTAAAATCCCACCACACACAAGTGCAGCCTGGGACCCTAAGCTACATCACTCAGGACTGAGGCAGAAGCCTGAGCAACATGGCCTTCCCCCCTGCCCGAGTAAGAGATGGAGTGGTTCTCTGCAGCAAGATTGGGGCTAAATGAGCAGCTCTAGAGGTAGGCAGGGGGGTGGGGTCTGCCTCTAGTCTAGGTGAATTATCAGAAGCTT